TCCAGTTGAAAGTGCAGGTGGAAGAAAGAGGTGAGTAGCTTGAATAAAGTGATATCAATTCATTAATGGATTCCACACAAAGACGTAAACACAGAGCGACCCGACGCATCAGAATCAGCTTTGTCTTTCTCGGCTTTCTCACCCGACGGCCCATACACGGTCGGAGCTCAGCGATTCTGATGCGTCCGGTCCGCTCTGTGTTTACGTCTTTTTGCGCTGATTCTGAGCTGCAGGTTTTGTCTCTCTCCAACCAAAATTCACAGAGCCAACAGCAAAAGAAGCAGCAAAAGAAGCAGCAAAAGAAGCGGCAAAAGAAGCAGCAAAAGAAGCAGCAAACTGCACTTCACATTTGATCAATGTTGTCATGAGTTTTGTTGTTTTGCTTCCACCACGATAAAAATCACCGTTCCTGCACAGCTCTCTCTCTGTACTTCAAGAACAGTTTCCCGTCTCAAATCTGTTTTCTGCATTATTCATTCGTTTATTACCCACCAGTCTACCATTGTTTACAGCGCTGTCTTTTTCTTTTTTCACTTAAATGACCTCGGACAAGAAAGCTTAATTTCTGCTGTTCAATACTGAAGAAATTTAAACTTCTTAAAATTATGCAAAATTGCAGAATATTTTTAAGGTTATCTGCTATAAAAAGCCAGACCAGGAAAGTCTCCTTCATGTTTTCCTGTGTTTTATTCTCAGTTACTTTCACACGAAGGCATCTGCTGCGATGTTCACAATTCTGAAGAAGTCTCATGTGTATCAGTACTGATAAACGATCAGAATTATAATATTTCTGACTGTCTGAGGCTAAATTGAATCAAATCAGGACTTTGAGAACCGGAATCGAATGGATTATAGAAATTAGTGATGATGCCCAGCCCTAGTGAGCAGCCTAGGCCTGAGAGAAGTGGATGTAGCTGTAATAAGAAAAGAACTATTGATAACTTTTCTGTTAAGTTAAGGCCTGATCCTTCTGAAATTCATAGCCAGCTCTGACACGGTGTCATCAATCTTTGAATGCTGAAAAAGCACAGTGTATCCAGAAAAACACATTATATGCTGCAACAAATGCACTGCCCCAGAAAAGTGCAATCAAACGATGAGTTTATTAACAGCCCAGAGAAAACATCAACACATGTCTTCTGACCAAAATACATGTTGTGGACACTTACATCTTGTACATCTTTAATAGCTATAAACAGACATACAAGGTAATAATCTTAAGCCCTCAGGGTCTCTGAGGCTAATTCTTGACTCTGCTCATCTGTTACCAAGTAGAATAAAATGCAACAGGTTTGCAACAAGAAGCTGGAAACATTTGGGCCTCTGCTCAGGCCTATTCCTAGATTATTATATGTACTGTAAGCATGCATTGCAGTTATCCTTCTATGTTCTAGTTTCCCTCAGCATGTATCACCTGGACAGTCATGCCAGTGAAGCCTAAGACCCTTAATGAACCGAACATCAACTCAAAATAAGCACAGATATGCAATGTGTATAAAATACTTCCAACCGTACTTGTAATAAAATTTAACATAATGGAAGGATCCTCAAATGGACATCTTCAATAAACAACTTTAATCCAATATCAATACTGTGAGAAATATTATTAGATGAAATAATGAGGATGGATGGTTGGAATAATGCTGTAAAGAATGTTATTAATGCAATTATAATGATGCAGATTATATGGCAGCAATAAAAGAATTTCTGGATCTCCACATTCCCTCCTTTGACATTCCAAAAGGAATGTCACCACGCCTCGTGTTGTATCACTCCTCGGCCCATTCTATGGCATCTAAGTTCCTCAGGTAGATTGAATCCACCCGTCCAGAGTCCGCAACCCTAGCCATCGTTTTACCAAGAATCCTTTGACACAGGGAATGACACAACAACCACAGGTGACCAGTATCCCTAAAAGTGTAGCGAATGAAACCGTTGCTGACATAGCCAAACCTTTCCACCGTCCAAACACGGATACCACCCAGGACTCCACTGGGTTTCCGATACCTGAGTGCTCATGCATCGTTTTAGACAAATTTCCAGGCCCTCCAGAGCTCGGGTTACTGAGCCATCTGGGGCAGAATTATCTTTGGGGATAAAGGTGCAGCACATGTCTCCGAACATAGCACAGACGCCCCCTTTTCTCCGCCAACAACATGTCAAGGGCCATTCGATTCTGCACTCCCATCAGTCACTGTTCTTATGTCCTTGGAGCAAACTGTGACCACATAATTTCCTCAGGGATTAATAACGTATTCAGATTCTGATAACTCTATTAATGGTATTTATGTGGACTTCACAGCATATTAGTACAAGTTTCCTACATTTGACAAAGGACAAAAAATGCCTGTATTTCAACTGCATTTATTATTGTTTATGACCTGTTTAACTGCATCACAGAATTAATTAACTGATGTTAACAATAATGAGTTCCAGTCTAACCCAGTACCTGGGTGAGTTGTAGAAAAACATAGAGTGAAGAAATACAAATGGAGAATATATGAAAAAACAAACATCTTAAATCGTTGTACACTAATCAGTAGTTCAAGGAGTTCCTGGACTTACGGTGAGTCAGAAAGCACTCACCTCTGTATTTTGCATCACACAGAAAATACACACTAGGCTAAAGGAACAATGGTGCAATTTTCTTTATTTTTCCTCATAGTGGTCATGCTTTTCTTATCCGCTGCTTTGGTCTGCTGAAAAAACTACCAATAGGGCAAATGTCACTGGAAAAGATTTAATATTTTTGTAGAAGTTGTTACAAACAAAAGAGTTTGTTTTGCTCCGCTCCCTGAAGACCAACACAGAGAGACTGAGGAGGAGCTTCTTCCCGCAGGCGATACGGTCTCTCAATCACACCACCACACAGTACTGACCCACACATATGGTTCTTACACACACACTGGACTTTCTGGACTTTGGTTTTGCACAACACTGGTCACTATATTCTTCATTCCGGTTAATACTTGTACAGCTGCTGTTATTATGTATATATTTATTTATATTTAGATTTCTTCATACATTCTTATATAGTTCTATATTGTGTATTGTGTATTTTGTTGTACAGTTATTTAATTTTCAACTTTAATTTATATATTTTATCTTATTCTTCCCAGTTAAATTTACCCTTCATTCTAATTTGTGTTGTACAGTTATTTCATTTTTAACCTTAATTTATATTTTATTCCTTCCTAGTTAAATTTACCCTTTTTAATTTTTCATATTTATTTCCTATCTTATTCATAGCCTTTTCCTTTTTTGTTTTCTTTAGGTCACGAGCAGTTGTCCAAGCATTTCACTACATATCGTACTGTGTATGACTGTGTACGTGACAAATAAAATTTGAATTTGAATTTGAATTTGAACAAAGGTGGTTTGAAATTAGCATAACTAAGGACACTACACTACACTTTCCTCCGCATTAATCATTCCTGTCAACTTCTTACAGTTTAACACATGTGTACATACTCTTCTGTACACACCCTGAACACATGCTAAGATTCAGGCTCCACAGTGAGATGCAAATGCTAAACGCAGTCTCGTGTTTAGGTGTCACACATCTAAATAAAGTTAATCAACTGGTTAGCTGCACAAACCTAACAGTAACTTATACTAGACATGAACCCACAGTGAGGTGCTCTGCAGCCATCTACTGAGTGACATCTGACAGAAACATGTTTTATGTCTATTTGTTCATATTTTACAAAATCATGTTAAAAAATTTTTTATGGAAAATCCATATAAGAACTAAATTGTCAGTAATTCCACTGCTACACATCAAAAATCAAATTATTTAGGAAAGTTTAAATAAGTGTAAACAAATATGGTGCTGCCCTGATGCATCTTAGAGTAACACAGTAAACTGAACCTGCCAATCAGTGAGGTGGTGTCATGCTGTAGTGTGTTCAATGCGACCTTCTCCCTTTTGGCTTCGCACTGTCAAAAGTCTGATTGATTTAAGCAGAATTTTGTTTCAAAAGCAGAGCTGTGTGCAGGAGAATGAATCTCCTACAGTGCTCAAAAGCAGATTTACTTTTGTCTTTATGATGCTTTGTGCACTTGGCTCATACCTGCACGTGTAGGTTATTGGATTTACATATAAAAAATCAACTGGCCAAGTGTCAATGAATGTCTATTTACTCATGGGGTGTGTTCTGTACTCAACTTGACAACCTCCTCCAGGCAACTTCCGGTTGCTTGATCATTTTGTCTTTTGGATTGCAAATGTTTGATTTCTCTTACTAAGATAAGCGGTTATAATATCATGCACACAGAAGTTGCCTCTGTTCAGGGAGGAGCCCTGGTCCGAGAATGTGCTGACCACACACACACACACACACACACACACACACACGTGATACTTCCTCTATCTTTGAGGATTTATGATAGAGTGACTTGAACACACTGAGTCAAGCAAGTCCTCTCCTCTGTCAGACGAGCAGAGGGCAAAGACAGATAAGATCATTAAGATCAGTAGTATGATTCTCACATCTGTTTAGATTCCTCAGGCTTCTTGTTGTATTCTTCTTGTAAGTCTTCCTCCTGTCATACACAAGTAATAAAAAAATGTTTGTCCTTCTAATGATTTGTTAATAGTTGCTCTGACATGATACAGAACCCACACACACAGTGTTGTAGGTTGAGTTAACCCTAACCAGGGGGATGGCCAGGCACTCTTTCTCTACTGTGCTGTACCCGGCCTGCAGCTTGGGTTTCGGCACCACTGCGACAAAATAAAGGACCCACGCGCACAGCGTTGTAGGTTGACTGTTTTTATTTTCAAACTGTCTTTGCAGCAGCTGCCCTCCCCCTGCTTCATGCCATGAACAGTTGTAACATACTCAAATGGGGAGACATGGTCAGATGATGGAAGTCAGCTGTGTGAATCAGCCTCCCCTGATACCACACCCCAAACCAACTGCTCCACCCCTACTTCTGCAGCTGAGCCACAAAGCACACTGCACCATAGTTGGGTTTCTATTTGTGACAGACTTTTCTTCAAGCATTTGACAGAGAGATTTCTCTGTTAACATTTGAGAAGAAGATGGAAACTCCAACATATGAATATTATGACAGCACTGGGCTTTTAGCTGAACCATGCATGAGGGTCAGTGACAATATTTTGGGAGCTCAACTGTCCATCCTGTCCTACTTCATGTTTGTCTTCAATCTCACTGTCAATGGCATAGTCCTCATCATCATCTACCGGTGAGTTGTCCAACAAAACTTCGTACTGATTTAACTTGCTTGATTATATGTATTCAGATAAGCTGTTATTTACACTAACTTTCAATATTAGTTTAGGCTCAAATTCCTACAGTTGTGGTCAAAAGTTTTCACTCACTTCTTCTTCTTCTTTTCTACATGTTTCTATGATATACAACAATCCTAAGTTTCACAAACTTTAACTGGCAATTAAAGAGGAGTGCATAGCTAACATGACTAACCTGTTAGTGTTCACTGATTTGGCAATATCTGTCACTTCTGGTAAAAAACTATTTTGTAAGAGATACAAGAGAAAAGCAGCTTACGTGTCTCACAGTCCAGACAAACGTCATCCAACTCTTTTTTATCACTGCATAATCCACCTTGTGGGTGGATTTATGTACATCACTGCTTAAAAAAACATAACAAGTCTCTCAAAGTCTGTCAAACTGGACAGTCAAACTTTACTGTTTGACCCTCCAGACATTTTACACTGCATCTCACCAAAATTATTATCTAATCCAATAAATAAATACAAATAAGGGTGAACTATTCTTATACACAACTTCCTCATACTACAAGAGCAGATGACTATGATCTATATTTGTTTTGGCTATACCACGTTTGGAAAATCAGACACTTATTGCACCCGCTGCATCCACAAAGCCACCAGCGTTGTGGAGGACATCACACACCCCTCACACACACTCTTCACCCTGCTGCCTTCTGGCAAGAGGTACCAGAGCGTTTGGGCCCTCACTTCAAGACTGAGACACAGTTTCTCCCCCCAAACCATCAGACTCCTGAACATTCAGTGACTGGACTGACACACACACACATCACACACATCCCAGGCCTGGCGTAGATGGCACTGTTTATGTGATGCCATGCCACATCTGACCTGATTGTGGTTTGGTTTATGTGGCCCAGGCTCATAGAAAACAGTTCTGGCCTGGATCTGGCATCAAGCTGGCACTTCGGACTGACTGGTGTCATGGCACCAGTCAGTCTACACAGAGGTAATCCACACGTGGGCCAGCACAGGACCACCAGTGTGTCTGCAACTGGCCTTGTGCTGGCCCATGTGTGGGCCACCTCTGGCAGATCTGGGCCACCAAAGGGCCATCATTTTTTGTGGTTTGTGGGCCATCTTCAAGCACATTGTGTGGGCCAGATCTGGGCCATACTAATTTTGCTATTCGGGATATTATATACGTCACTACCAAGCACTTATTTGCACAATGTCATACACACGCGCACAACCACGCACATCAAGTTACTCTTTGCACACTGCTCAGTCTTTTGCACATTTCTGTCGCACTGTCTTGTGTCTGTATCGTTCTGTACCTCTGGCATTGCACTGTTTTTTTGTGCATTTTTTTTGTGAAAAACTTGTAGCTTGCAGCACCATGGTCTTGGAGGAACGCTGTCTTGCTTCACTGTGTACTGAACCACTGCACATAGTTATAATGACAATAAAGCCATCTGACTTGACTAAGTAAAAAGTACTGTATTAAAAATCATACCTTTCATAATGATTAATTATGAAGAATTATCATACAGGTTTAAAAAACACTGAATTTAGAATCACTCAAAAAATGTGACTGATTGAAAATATTAATACAATTTAGAATAAATTTAAAGATATGTGTTTTTATCTATGTATGACATATTTCTGAGTTTAAGTTTTATTTTTTTAAAGCCTACATTGGCTGTTTTACTGCAACTGCTCTGTACTTTGTAATGATACCTAGCATTTATTAAATGTTCTACTCTACAATCTTACCTGGCTAAATCTAGGCCAACTGAGTTGATGCGAGGTGATCTCAGGGTCATACATATTACTTCAAGCTAAACTCATACAGCTATTTATTGTAGCATTTATTTTAATAACATATTTACTAATTTGAACAAATGGGTTTTAAGGATGAAGGGAAGTTTAAACAAAAAGCCTAAGCCTAGACGTAATTCCAATTTCCGAAATTCAGCAGTAGTGCTACATGTCGCCAAGAGTTCAACATTTTCTCCCTCTGTACCTGGATAGAGCCTGCCTGCAGCACCAAAGGACTCCATGAGCGCTGGCTATCTCTCTTTAGCAGCACGTGTCCCTCTCGTCCTCTTTATTCAGTGGACGATGATCGTCCATCGTCCACTGAATGAGTGAGCACACGTGAGCCTGAGGCATTTATACAGCCGTGTTTCGCATGTTTCGTGTATTGCTATGACAGGAGGAAGAAGAAATGGTACCTATTAATCATTTAGACAATCCCAATAATATAGTTATTTTCCACTGTGTTCTTTTTTATGAATAACTACAAATTTACCCCAAATTATGAAAATATAAATATTTTAATATGATAATCAACTCTAGAATATAAATATCCAATATCGGAGGAATTGATATTGCAGTACTGAGCCATATGACCTACATTTTTCCCCTCGTGCCGGCCCATCACTCCCAGGAGGTGTTTTAGGGGTGTGGTGCTATGAGAGTTGAGCTGCAGTTGTGTGCATAAGGTTTGAAACTAACTTTTGGGACCCAGAGCATCACACCTCTCATGGGAAAGGAATCCGAGCTAGTGTGATTGAGACAAACTGGCTAGACTGGGAGTGAGGTCACTGAAGCGGTTAAACAGCTCCTTGGTGGCAGGACCAATGGGGTGAATGAAAGCCATGCTGAGTTTCTCGCGGTTCTGGATGTGGTCTGACTATTTTGGCTGAGATCCCTCTGTAATGTTGCATGGAAGTTGGGATTATGTCCTTTTTTAAGAAGGGGTATTTGTATTGTATTGTATTGTATCTTTATTTGTTTCAGACATATAAAACAAAAAACAATATATACACACTACATATATTTTCATTTACAGATACGAATATATATGTAGATATACACACACACACACGTATGTGTTCAGATAAACAAAAAATATATAATGAAATAAAACAAAATCGTCTGACATAATGTAACAATGTTTGGTCTGAAAAGGAGTAGGAAGAAGTATGAACATACTTATTAATTCCTACCCCTGCTCAACATCTTATTGATCCCACATAATTCACCTAATTCCCATCATCACATACTCCACACGATACACGAGGAGAACCTATATAAACTTGGCTACCGGGATTGATATAATTTGGATATAATTTGATATTTTTATACATACAATGGGTGATCATCTTGATAATTGGTAATTGAAGAGTGTGATCTAATAGGGGGGATACCATTTCTCAGTCTCCATGGGTAGGTTTAAACCAGGGTACTGGAAAGGAGACTTTGCCTGACTGAGGTGCTTTGGAAAACAGGACATTTAAAAAACAAACAAACGAAAAACTACTTTTCAGACTTCTGAAACAAAGGGATTTCACTTTTGTTTAGCTTACAATGGGAACTTTAAATGAAAGATAAAACTATAATATAAAAAAAACCAAAGAGTTTAAACATTGCATTTCAGTTTCTTTCACTATAAACAACTACACAGTGAACTGAATGAAAACTTTTTCAGCCGTCATGATTCTTGATAATTAATTTAAATTTTTTATGAAGCACCAATATAATGTTATACTAGACTGTAAAAGGTCATAAGTGCATAATAAAAGGTGAAAGGACATAAAACAGACAAAAATATAAATAAAAATATGGTAGCAATTTATATTAATCTTTATATACTCCAAAAGAATTCCACTCAGACATTTTTCCCTGAAAAATGGACGAAGTATGCAACAAAAGCGAGGAGCATGACAGGCTTTTAGACCCTTTGGAGCAGAGGTGGATTTGACACAAAATGTCATGCGGTTGTCAGAAATACAACGACCAGGGTAACATGTTGAAGCCATACTACTTCCACAGACAGTGGAAGACAGTGACAGAATACCTCAGGGGCTGGAAAGAAGATGCTCTACTTTCTGAAAAGCCACTGTCTACCAGACGTCTTTTTTCCAGTTCTACCTTTGTGAGCAGGCAATCTAAAGATGTTTTTGGTGTTCACAGAAAACACAATAAGCAATGTCAGGGAGAAATTCAACAAAATCTGCTTGAGCGCTGGATCGAAAAGAGCAAGAGCAAGAGCCCCAGACCCATGTTGCGTTTCTCTCAGGCTTCTTTGGTTTCTAACTGCTTCTTCAGCACACTGTTGAGTTGACAATTTTTTCTTTATCTATTAACGGTGGGTTGTTTCCAATGGTTAGCTATAATTTAATCTCTTTTCCCATATATTTACTGTCAGGCAGTCCCTAAAATATGTTGCAGTGGCATAATTCCCGCCATCTGCTATATTCAAAGACTGAGACAATGAGGTTCCTTTGATAGAAAGTTTACATAAAAGGGTTAATGGTCAAGGTACAATAGACTCCTGGGGCAGCAGGAGTCAGTGGTTAAAACAACTGCCTCACACCCAGAGGGTCTGTGCGGAACAGTGTTGCCTCTGGATCAAAGCAAGAGCAACAGAACATGCATGTTCCGCATGTGTGTGCACTCCAGCTCACTCCAGCTCCAGATTCCTGCCATGGTCTAAAGACATGCTACCCTATGGTAGCTGGGATAGACATGGTACAATGATAAGATGCCAGCTGTTCAACAAGGTCCAAGTAATGACATTTGCTTGCTAGTAATGATGCCACTGTCAGTTGTTAGTGGTGTTGTAACAAAGCAGAAGCAATTCGAATTGACAGCAACTTAGCCACGAAGTGGTAATCTCCATAAAATCACAAAGAAGGGCTGGTATGCATGGTGGAGTAAATATCCATTTCTGTCCTTGATGTACAATCTACTCAATCTACCGTCCTGTTAACTATTGGACCTCAAGATAAATATATTTCCCGTTTCTAGGGCAGTAGGGTTCATATTAACACCAATTCTCTTAGTTTTGATTACAGCCTGGATCTGGACAAATGCAAAGAAAAATTAGGAAAAGTAATATTTTACTCTTAGACTTTCCTTCAACTAACAAATAACACTGGCTGTCTAGACATTCTGCACAGGATGCAAAACTGCTTTTCACCACAAAAAGCTGCTGGTGCGGTATTCTCTCTTATTATCAAACATTTTCAAAAGCTAGAAATGTTATTTTCACCCCTGAATTTTCTTTGTGTTAAACTAACATTACACACATTGGTCAGCACTACAGGACACCAAGCTCCAACATTTTCGAAACTTATTGGAAAAAGTGGAAAAACATAGATTCATGTGTTCCTGTGGACTACAAATACGAATAACGTGCTTTTAAAAAGAATGACAATGTTCTCATGCCAAAGAAACCCTCGAATGTCGGTCTGCTCCACAGAGCTTTTTCAAAAAATGACCCCCCCCCAACACACACACACACACACACACACACACACACACACACACACACACACACACACACACACACACACAGACATATATGTAGAGAGAGAGGGAGAGAGAGAGAGAGAGCGAGAGAGACCACACCTACACCAAAAGGTTTCTGAGTTTGAGCCTTTGCTCTTATGGTTGAATAGTACATAATGATGTGTGTATAATAATGTAATAATGCTGTGAACTCTGAACTACAACTTTGTGGAAGTCGACCGTACTTATTTTCCATCAAGTCGAGAATCTAGAAATATCGTCTTTTTCTGCTCTAATTCTATGCTCCCCTCATGAAGTTCCTACTGAATTTCTTTGCGGCCTCCAAAAATACACCTTTACTCAGATTCTACGGGTATGATCACCTCCAGAAAAAGGTTGATTCTAAAGACGTATCACCAAACAATCCACAGATCCCAGTTGCCTGTAAACTGCCTGAGCTCAGAGAGAATTACAGCTATTTTATAATGCTTTACTTATGAGTCATTTTACACATATAATAACTTTTCATGTTGACTCCCTTTTAGGTTTGAACAGCTGACCACTGTGACCAACATCTTCCTGTTGAACCTGGTGGTGTCCTCCCTGATCTTTGCGAGTAGTCTTCCATTCATGGCAGTCTACATGCAACTCTCCAACTGGATCTTTGGCACCGCTATGTGCAAGATTGTTGGCAGTGTCTACTATCTAGGGTTATATAGCTCTGTCCTCTTCCTAGCTCTTCTTACCTTTGACCGACACCTTGCAGTTGTGTACTCGGTGGGTCTGTTACAAGTGAGGAATCGAAGTTATGCAGTATTCTCCTGCGCTGTGGTGTGGGCGGTCAGTGGTTTGGCATGTGTCAGACCAATGATTCTCCATAAAATTTTTACGTCTAATATTGATAACAAAACTCTGTGTCAAGAATATCCTGGTTACATTCCAAATATTGATGTGGATGCCTTGAGATTATCTGGGTTTTACATTCAGCTTTTCCTTTTCTTTATCTTCCCATTGGTTGTAATTGTCTATTGCTATGCAAGAATCACAATCACGGTTGTGTCGTCCAAGATTGTAACAAGGTTCAAGACAGTCCGGCTGATATTCATCATTGTGCTGTTGTTTTTCATGTGTTGGACCCCTTATAATATTGTACTGATGTATGATGAACCAACAAGCTGCGAGGAAGAACAGAAACAGGCCTATGCGCTTCAAATCACTCGTTACATTGCCAACATTTACTTTTGCATCAGTCCCGTCTTCTACACGTTTGTTGGGAAGAAATTCCAGAACTATTTCAGGCAGCTCCTGGTGAAACACTTCCCAAAGTTAAAGAGACACATTTCTGTTAGTCAAAACAGCAGAAGCAACATGTCCACAAAAAGTACAAGAAACGAGTTTTAGAAATGTTATATATCAGTGTTTGCAAATGTTTCACGATTCAAGTTGGAGATTAGTAAAGTTTGATTACATATACGGGTAAATTCATACTATGATTGGAATAGAAAAATGGATGTGATGTATAAGAATTAAATCAATCTTGAGATTTCAAAGAACTAGTGTCACCAAAATGTTCCTGTGGTTCAGGTCAAAGCTGTTGTCAGATTCATATTGATGAGATAAAACTCTACATTCTATTACTTCAGTCACAATCTGCCAAATAAGTCATATTTGACCAGTGTTCAGGCCTAACAGCAGAAGTTCTTGAAATTTGACACACTAGTTCATGGTAGTCAAACTAATTTTAGTAATACACAAAGATAATCAGAGTAAATAGAGATGCAGTTTTTTTAATGATAATGTAAAATATCAGAAAAATTGTTGTTTTTTTTAAACTTAACGGTTGTTTCATGTCTATCAGTCTTGAGTAAATGCACTCTTCTTGATTACTTGATGAAATCAACACTTTTAAATCAAAAGGCTGTAACTTTCTCCATTTCATGTCCCGGATATTTTTTAACACAGATGCTTTCCACTTGTTATTTGTTGCTGATGTGCTTCTTTTTTTCTGGTTTATAAACAATATACACACTACCATCGGCTCTGAAGCCAGCATCACTGTTCATATAGTTTCTTGAAAACTGTACATTGCCTGTATTCTTACTAAATAAAGAAAAAAGAATATGCTGTTAGAAACAGGAAAACGTACCATTTTAAAGCATTATGACATTTACAATAAAAATGAGAAATGTTTTGTGCATCTATGTTCATTTTCAATTCCATTCAATGTTATTCATACAAGGCACCAAAATACAACAAGTCCCTCAAAGCCCTTTATATTTTAAGGTAAAGACCCTTCAATATTTGAGAGAAACCACAACAATCAAATGACCCCATCTAAGCAAGGATTTGGCAACAGTGGGAAGGAAAAACTCTCTTTTAGTGGAAAGAAACCTCTGACGAACCAGGCTCAGGGAGGGGCCATCTGCTGCAAATGGTTGGAGGTGATGGGAGAAAAACAGACTGTGGAAGACATACAGAGAATAATGATGATTAATGATTAAATATAGACTGGTGGGAACCAGTGAAGAGAAGCCAGTATGGGAGAAATATGCATTCACTTTCTGGTTTCTGTTAGTAAAACTGCTGCAGTATTTTGGATCTACGGAAGGCTTTTCAAGGAGGTTTTAGGACAGCCTGATAATAATGAACTATAGTAGTCCAGTAAGAAATGCACAAACTAATTATTTAGCATCACTCTGAGTCAGGATGTTTGTAATTTTACAGATATTGTGCAAATGAAAGAAAGCAGTCCTCCATATTTGTTTCATGTGCACATTGAAGGAGATATCCTGGTCAAAAAGGACTCCAACATACCTCAGTGTTACTGGAGGCCAAGGTAATGCCATGCAGAGTAAGAATCTCGTTGGATACCAGGGCCGAATACAATAACCTCAGTTTTATCTGAATTTAAAAGCAGAAAATTAGAGGTCATGCAGGTCTTTATGTCTTTAAGACAGTTTAACTAAAGATGTTATCACATCTGCAGTGTTTAGTCTGTTTAAGTCAAACTGGTTTGTTTCCCCCCTTTGCACAGAGCAATTGTGCAAGTGGGAACATAATAATTGCACTATGGTGTAGACACTGTACAGTTCCATAAAACTCCAGAGTGCTTTGTTTATGATCTAAGCGTGATCTAACCTCGACTTAACTACCAGGTGTACATTATAAGTTTGAACTAGAAAACATTTCACTCGCAGGGACCACTCCCTTGGTAACAATGAGCAATGAGGGATGAGGAAGTGTGATTAGTGCTGCGGTTTGGGGAAGGCATTGAAGGGGACTGGTGACGGCTCTCGGGCCGGGCAGAAACCCCTGTACTAACGAGAAATAAAGGGAGGAAAGGAAGAGAGGAGAGGACAGGAGAAGAGAAGAGAGGAAAGAAAAAAGGGGGGGTAGGGTGGAGCATGAAAATGAGAACAGCGGGTATTGGATATTGGGAGCTTTTATAGGCTGAGGCCAGAGGGGGCGTGAAGGAGGAGTGGTCCCGCTCCTGAAATTCAGATGATATCTCCACCATATGCTTTGAATTTTGGGATGTGGCAAGTTACTATAGATGTGCAAGGGTCTGTACAGGCTAGCAAATATCCGTGGAATGAATGTAAGTTCTCCATGTTCTTCAGTAGTCCAGAAAACTGCACTTCTTCCTGTATTTACTTCAGTTGCTCCTGTCCCAGACACATCTGACCAGTGAGTGGACTGAACATTGGCACGTGGTTTGTTGTGACGTATGGAGTTCACTTAGACTGTTGTCTGTTTGAAAACAAAGCAAACTACTGATGGGCTGGTGTTCTGGTTGTGATAGAGCTGCCTGATGATGTACAACATACAGTCTCAATGATGCTGTGTGGCAGGTAGGTAGTGATGTTACATCTGACACTGAAGCCCAAAGGGGGTGTGTCCAAACGAAGTCTGTGTGTGCATGTATGTGTATTAAATTATGCAGGACCATATAGAGCGGTTCAATTGCTGGAGCTGCTGAACAGCTGCTTTTTGGCAAAGCAATTGTCTGGAAAGATTGGACACATTCATGGGGCTTCGTCACACTATCACTACAGGCAGGTAATATGCAGGACTCCAGAGGCAAAGAGTAAACTCCAAAGGCCGCTTATAAAACTTATAAAAACACAAAAACAAACTATAGAACACTAGAACTATAACCTATGGGGAGAATGCAACAAAGAACTGATGAAAACTGAGGCCTTAAATACACACAAGGTAATTAGAAAACAGCAGGGAACACAGTGAACTGAATTTGACATATGAAACAAGGGAAGCAAAAGTGAACACAATGCACACGGGATAAGAGGCCGAGACACAAATCTGACATAGACAAAAGGTAAACAAACATAAAGACCAGACTGCCTAAACACGGTAGAAAAACAGACTAAACACAGGCAACATGGGACAGGAAAACAACTGAAAAGGATAACTATAAATATTGAATATGAGCAAAATCCAACCTAAACAAACGTCATATGAGATAAACTCACTTGAGAGCCTCCTTGCATGAACATTTTGCAGATTAGAAACTGGAACCTTGCACCAGAGCGTGTGACTGAGATTGAAGTAAAAAGAGGCCAACATCCAGAGAGCTTTGGAATATCGTTCAAGAAGCCTAGAAAACTATTCCTGAAGACTACATTAAAACTTTACAAGAAAGCTTGCCTCAGATGGTTGATGGGTTATGCTGAATAATAAGCATGATTTCATACTGACTGTGAAATTCATTAGAATTATACAAACTCTGTTATTGCCTCATATACTATATTTCCATGTATTTTTTGTACATGTTTCAATAAATCATTGCACATGTTTCCGTTTTTGAAGCCAATGAGTCAACACTTTTGTACATTACTGTAAATGATGACATTTCCCTTTACAATAATATTGCAATAGTCCGACCCTTTTGCAGATCACAATACCATTGTTTTAAGAAAAGATCAACATCAAAAGAACAACATCATTCTGTCCTTAAATACTGTTTTAGACTTTTTCAAATTCATTTAGAGCAACACAACCTTGTCTCTGTGAACCTCAGTTCTGTTTGACAAATCCAGTCCAATAGCAAATAAAAACCACCCAAATACCGGGAACTAAATGCCAGAGAGCAGTACAGCATTTCAATAAGGAGAAATTACTTGGATTTATTGAGAGAAATTAATGTATTTGGTGATTAGATGACTGATCATGGCATCGTGTGTTGTTTAGATGAACAACCAAATATTTATTCTGTTTATTAGCTGTGCAGTTTAGGCTCACGTTAGGTGTTAAATCTTTGTTGGTTTATTTTATTATTGTCATTTGTTTAGAACATTTATCATATATGCTTAGAGTGTATATCATTGTGTATGATAAGTTTGTGATCTTTAACAGGCTACAGAGCTTGGTGTGTATTCCACACTGGAATGCACACCTGCATCTTGGGCATGGAAGAGTCGCATCTTGTTTTATTGTTTTATGGTAGGATTAACGTAGCTACATTTGTTTTAGTCTAAGTGCTTTTCTGTTTAGATGAACTGCTGGACTTCCTTACCGGGGGGTCTAGTCTACCCTCTTCCTGACCAAGGATGATTGCCTTCGTGCTTTCATGTTGTTATATGACCCTTTTGACACACACACACACGCACACACATACACACAGTATTCTTTGTTCACATGTATACCTATGTAAGATGTTATATGTTAATGACCCTATGCATATTCATGTAACCACAATAAAAGGAGTGCTGTGGGGAAACCTGGCTGAGAGTCTGACAGTGGTCAAGTGGTGGAACGACGCTTGGCTCCAGCCAGGTCTCCCTCATGCATGAGTAACCAGAGAACTTTGGTGCCTTGAGTCTTGCTTTTGCTGCGTAGCAGATTGTCCTTAACGTTCCAGCGAATAGGTTTATGTTACAAACCTATCAATCTTCATGACAGAGATCACTCTTGCTAAATATTACCAAATCAACTGAGAACTGAATGTGCTGACACAGCTCTACACTCAGCTCGGAGTGCGTGTTGATGTGTTGAGCTTTCTTGCAACACTCTCTTCTCATTCACACACACACACACACACACACACACACACACACACACACACACACACACACACGTCTATTCATATCGTTGTGGGATCTCATTGACATAATGCTTTGCCTAACCCTGACCTTACCCTAAACATAACCTAACTGTAAAACCTCCACTAAAACTACATTTTGGGTCTCTAAAATGCCTTCAAACTCGTGGGGAACAGGATTTCTCCAGGGGTTCTCCAGCTTGTAGAATTTTATTGCTCATTTATACTTTAGGCTTAAACATTTTAACATTTCAATTTTATATCGACCGCATCGTGAACAGTGTTACATTTGATTCACACTTCTCTGCATTTCTCTGACACAAAGATGGAAACTACATCATATGACTATGACTACAGCACTGGGTCGTATCCACCACCTGAACCATGTAGCAGGGACGGGGACAATATTCTGGGAGCTCAACTGTCCATCCTTTATTACTTCACGTTTGTCTTCAGCCTTTTTGGGAACGGACTGGTACTGTTCATCATCTATCGGTGAGTCGACCAACAGACTGCATGACAACAATCAGAACATGCAGCAAAATTCATGGGATAGATTCAGCTGAACAATAATTTGATAACTTCCTTTAGTTCTTACATTTTAAAAAATAGTCCTAATGGGAATGACTTTTCAAAGTATAAAAAAATTAAATTGAAAACTACAAATCAGAGTCACATTGACAGATATTGTTGTTACTTTTTATTTTAAATGTTTAAATGGTCCTAAAACTGTTAGTTTTCTTTTTTGAAATTATGAAAGTGCTCTAAACATATGGAAAGAAAATAAACTGATGCATAATATTGACCATGAAATCTGATCTTGATAAAAAACCTGCCACTGAAATTAAGACTGAGTGGTTTAAGAAGTCACCTCATAGTTTTAGTCGATAATTCCCACAGACCTACTGAACTCTCCTGATGGGCACATTTTAAGATGTGTATTTATAAAATCTGTAATCTCTGGTGGCTCTTAGATGATGGTTTCCTTGTGGCTGTGTGCAGCAGGGCTGAGGACGTGGGTTACTGACCTGGTAGCCTGGCTGCCCCGGGGTGGGTTTGGGGCGGGCGTGGGGTTCTG